ATACCAGCTAGCCTCGGCGATATTCCTACTGGAGGCAAAAGAGTATGTAACCCGAACGGGGCTGCCACCACTCCCAACTCATCACCAGGCTTTCATGGACTGGATGGAAGAGGAATACCAATCCATCAACAATGGCACGACTCCCTTACTTGACAAGTCCCTGCTGGATGGCATCCGGGCCAACCAAGATCGCCGAAAATCTCTGCTCGATCGAGTAGCGCGGCAGAGTGCCCGAGGAGAGCTGCTGGTGCGCGTGGGCACCCGCATGATAGATATCTTGGAGCAGAAGATTGACTGTCTGGAAGTCATGTTCGGCCCAGACAATCTCATGGAGCGGACGTATGAAGAGGGCCTTCCAGGACAAATTGCTCCCGCGGTGGCCGGGTACCTGCATTGTCTGGCCCACGCCCAGACCGGCATTAGAATCCTGGAAGTCGGTGCTGGCACAGGCAGTGCAACCAAGGTCATGCTCGATAGTTTGAGGCCGACCGAGGCACAAGATGGCGGGGGGTTGGTGTCCTCTGTCTCGTCCTACGACTTCACCGACATCTCCGCCGCATTCTTCGAGAAAGCCCGCGCGCGATTCCACGACTGGGCAGATATCCTGCGTCCCAAACTGTTGAACATCGAGCAGGATCCCGCCGCACAGGGCTTCGAACTGGGCTCATACGATCTCGTGATTGCTACGCATGTATGTTGTTCCTCCCCCTGCACCCTTGCCAACAACCTGATGAGTAGGACTGAAGTGAGGACCAGGTCCTTCATGCCACTGCCGACCTGAATGTCAGCTTAAAGAACATCCGAGCATTACTGAAAGAGTAAGGCCGCCCCTTTCCCCAGGGACAGGCGTTTCATCATTGACTTGACCACAGGGGCGGTGACCTTATCGTGATAGAAAACATCCAACCCAAGTTCATGTGCTCCCAACTGCCTTTCGGCCTCTTGCCCGGCTGGTGGCGCAGCGTGGAGCCTTACCGGAAGACCAATCCCCTCATCCTTAAGGAGCACTGGACCGAGGAGCTACAGAATGCCGGTCTGCGGCCCAGACTAATTATCAATGATACCGACGATGGGATCAACGAAATGTCAGCTTTTGTGGCTTCGCCCATGCCGAAGGTTCTAGATGGATGCCAACCGTGCAGTATCATCTACTCATCTACCTATCCGGGACAACAACAGCTCGCATTGGAAGTTGCTGACCGGCTGCCGCGATCCTGTACTGCTGCCGTGGTCGACCTTGCAGATATCTCCCTCGACCATTCAGACACAATTGGTATCGTACTGGTTGGGTGCCAGGGCCTTGATCTATCGGAGCTGACCTCGAGCGAGTACAACAGGGTTAAGTTTATCCTCACGTCGTTTCAGAAGCTACTGTGGGTCACGTGTGATCCAACTGACGTCCCCAAATCTGCGCTGGCAACTGGGCTCGTTCGAAGTACGCGATGGGAGCGGGAGCATGATAATGTTAATATCATATTGCTGTCAGTATCGCTATCGCGGCCTACTCCGTTGACCATCTCCTCCGAGATTGTTCGTCTTTGCGAAAACGCGTTCATCTCCTGCGAGCGAGTGCCGCCGAACTCGGAATATCGCATCGAGGGGAGCAACGGTGTCCTGCTCACCAACCGCTTGTTTCCAGCGGCGGGAATTAACGAGTGTATCGGTTTGGGCTCGCGACCCCGGTCTCGACAGGTACCTCTCGGTACGGTCGACCACCCCATCAAGCTGACTTCTATCGGATCTCAGCAACCAAACGGATTTCACTTCGTCGAAGACCCGCAGGCGCACGAACCTCTGGACCCTGACGAGGTGAAAATTCGGATCCATGCCGCCGGGCTGGATGCGGAGGACGCAGACCAACTGAGCCGAGTCATTCCCGGTCATGGTTTCGGTGCACAGGGATCAGGGACCGTGGTGGAGATCGGCCATGGGGTGCAGGGAATCCAGGTCGGTGATCAAGTGATGGCTCTGCGTACGGGACCAAGTTGTGCCCTACAAACCTTCTTCCGCACCCATTCAGCCACTGTGGCCAAGATCCCCGATGGGATTCGACTGTCGGATGCAGCGGCACTACCCCTGCCATGGGTGACGGCGTACCATAGCCTGGTGACCGTGGCTCGTTTGCACTCGCAAGAGAAGGTCCTGATCCATCCCGCGATCGGTGCCACTGGTCAGGCTGCCGTGCAAGTGGCCGGTATGCTCGGAGCCAGAGTCTACGCGACAGTGGAGACTGATGCACAGCGGCAGACACTGGCGGAGTACGGGGTAGAGGAGAGCCACATCCTTGACAGTGCTTCTGTTGAGAAGCAGTTCGGCACGCAGACGAGCACACAGGGTGTAGATGTGTTGCTCAACCTCCGCCGCGATGGCCTAGAATTTCTACACCTGTCATGCCTCTCGCCGTTGGGTCGTCTAGTGGATATTTCAGGTTCACGGGCCTTCCCCTCGCAAGTCAACTCGCCGAGCAACCAGTCCTACTATAGAGTGAACATGCGGGAACTGTCACAGTTGAAACCAGAATCCATTCGACAAACTCTACGCACTGTCGCCCAACTCCTCGCCAGTCCCACCATTCGGCCTGTCACCCCTTTCCGAGTCGGATACTCGCAACTCCAAAGGGTCCTGTCCGAGATTCGACGAGGGAGCCGGGGCCCCTGGGTCATCCAGCCACTCCCCAATGACCCCATTCCAGTAAGCTCTGTCCCCCATGCCCCATGATTCCAGCCAGTTCGCTTCGTTAACCAGAAGATCGCTAGGTGGCACTGAAGCCACTGGGCAGTCACCAATTCGACCCCAGTGCGTCATACCTTCTCATTGGAGGGTTTGGGGGCCTCGGACGGAGTGTAGCTCGGTGGATGCATCGCCGGGGCGCAAAGCACTTCATTTTCTTCTCGCGGTCTGGAGCCAGCAGTGCGGCGGCTCGGGAGTTGTGTGCCGATCTGCGGGCCGCGGGATGCGCAGTGTCCGACATGATTTGTGATACTACCGATGCACAGGCCGTTGCAAAAGCTATGGCGCAGTGTGAGGCGTCCATGCCTCCCATTCGGGGCTGTCTCCAGGCATCCATGGTTCTTGAGGTAGGTGCATTGTTCGAATAAGCTACTGTGCGGGATGCGGTTCTAACGTGGACCGCAGGATTCGATGCTTTCCAATATGGACCACACTCGCTTCCTGGGGGCTATCACACCCAAGGTGCAGGGCACCATCAATGTGGCCTCTGCCCTGGCCCCCATCAAGTCCAATCTGGATTTCTTTGTCATGCTGTCTTCCTCGGCGGGGATCGTTGGCAACCGCGGCCAGGCCAACTATGCGGCCGCCAACACCTTTCTGGATGCCTTTGCGGGTCAACTAGTGACCCAGGGCTACCCGGCCACCTCTGTCAGTCTGGGCAGCGTGCTGAGTGTGGGTTGGGTGGCGGAGAATCAGCATAAGCTCCGCATCGCGTTCGCCTTCGGGGCCCTTTCGGAAGACCTTCTACTCTCTATCCTGGAATATCATATGGACCCTGCCTGGGGGGCGGCGCAGAGCACCCAGACCTGCCACACGGTGGTCGGAGTACGATCCGCGCGGGACTTTCAACGCCAGTCCATCCCTCTGCCCGGATTCATGGCCCATCCGTTATTCTCCCCGCTTCTGGCCATTGCAGGCAGGTCCCAAACGGCCGAACAAGCGGCCGAGGCTCCGGTTTCGCAAGGGTTACGCGAGGCATCATCCATGGAAGCGGCGGTAGAGGTCGTGACGCGAGCCATCGTCCACAAGCTGGCGCGCATTATGGCTCTGTCGGTGCAGGAGATTGATCCCCAGCGGTCGCTGGGCTCGTACGGGGTGGATTCCCTGGTGACGGTGGACTTGAAGGCCTGGTTCCAACGGGAAGTGGGGGTGTCCATAGGATCGGGGGAGCTGTTGGGGGAGAGGGCCATGACCCAGTTGGCCCAGCAGGCGGCAGACGCGTCGCAATTCTTGCCGGCGGAGCTCCGGGGGAAAACTAAGAAAAAAGACTGATATACATGTTTAAGAGCACGCCACGAAAGACAAGCCGGGAAAGATTGAGGTATCCAGGCATCTATTGTCAACAATCGGAGGAAAAGGCGGCCCGAGGATCAGGTGACTTGTACCGAGGCAGGAACGTGGCACTAGCCCCAAATAGGCAAGGTAGCAGCGACCTTCCTTTCAGGGATAAACAGAATGTTGAGCAGAATGATAGCCTGTCCAAATGATTCTCAATTCCATCCCAAGATACACCTCCCCTGTTAGGATGATTGCGAGATGGGCAATAACTACTAAGTACTCCTAAAGACCACTCGTCGATGGTTAAGGCTTTACCCTCCCCGCCATGCTTATCTCTGTGATCAGGCCATTATGGGCCTCCTTATAGGGGGACCTAGACTAGGACCATCTAAGCGCCATAGACATCTCGCTTAGTGGAGATCCAACGACCAGACACAATCGACTAGCCGCAAACATGTGATGTCTCCGCAATGGGGCCCAGAGTCCAGGCAACCAGACTTGATTATCCTTGCTGGTCCGGTGGTGTTCTTCGATTCTGGCTACCCTACGATCGGAGTCCAGTTAACTACAGAGTACATTTATCTTACGAAATGCGCAGCAGAGTGAAAAATGCCAGAATGGTGATCTCAAAGCAGCCCAGAAACATTGACCAACAGGGGACTGCAGAAAGAATTAAGACTGGCACACGACCTCCACCATTGGCCTGTAATACAACGGTGGATCGACCAACACACCGACGATTCGCCTTAACACAGCTTAGACCAAGCCTCTTTTCCCAAAGGGTAGACTATAGTATACTACCATAATTGTGGATCACGATCCATCTGTGGCACATCTTTGCCGCACTTTGGACCGCTCAGATGCCACCTGTCCGTATATTCCCGTTTCCATAAGAGGTCCATATTCCTGGGCAGTGAAGTGGGCGAGAGACTTGCCCTCAAGCCTTGAAATAAGCTTTCTGTTCATGTTCGAGCTGTCCTGCGTAGAAGGACATGCCTTGTACGGAGATCAGTCAAACCAGAGGGGCCACGCCGTCCACACGTTGCCCCTTCGAGGAATATGAACGGATCCTCGAGAAGAACCCCATCTTGGCCCCGACTGGCTGTACAGACAAATTCTGCCAAGCTGGACGTCTCATCCACAGCGATGAGCCAAAAGTCGGGGAGAATCGTCCCCTTGAAGTGGTGCAGAATGAAGCGGTGGCATTTCTCTGGCAGTTGTGGCAGGATGGCGTGTACACTGAGGATTGTTACCTAGAAAGGCGCACACAAGTCCTGGACGAAATCGCTCGGTCGGCGAAGAAAACGATCGTCTGGGAGCAGGAGTCCAAGCGAGTGGACACCACCTCGATCTGGACACAGAGCCCCGAAGAACTTCGCTATGGACTGCGACTGGCCTGGAGGAACTCGCGCAAGTGCATCATGCGCTCGCGGTATCAAGAGCTGGAACTGTGTGACCTGCGACATATTCATACCAGCGTCGGAATGGCCACAGCACTACTTGAGGAAGTCACTAAAGCCTTCAACCATGGCCAGATTAAGCCGACAGGTAGGATCAATTCAGTATAATTGCCACTGTATCGTATGGTGGTCTGAAACGTCTTCTCCAGTGTTTGTCTTTCCGCCGAAGTCTGTGGATGGCAGTGGTCCGATGTTTTGGAACAAACAGGTGCTGAACTTCGCTGGTGTACGTTCTCCTTCCCTTTCTCCCCTGGCGATGCCTATTAGTGCTGATGTGACCGTATTCCGCAACCCGCAGTACGAGCTCGAGGATGGCTCTATCCTGGGTGACCCGAGTAATGTCAAGCTGACCCAAGACATCATTGACCTGGGCTGGACGCCGCCACGGGCCAAGACCCGATGGGATCTTCTACCAATTGTTGCCATGGCCGAAAACGATGCACCGGCTCTTGTGGAGGTGCCAGACGACCTCCGTCGGTTGATCGAGATCCAACATCCGGACTACCCCGGTTTCAATGAATTAGGCCTTAGGTGGTACCAATTCCCAGCTTTGAGTCGATTGGGTTTTGATATAGGTGGAGTTCAGTATACGGCAACGCCATTTATCGGATGGTACTATCCTTCTCTTCATGATCGGTTTATGACTATGGCTGACCCTGACAAGGTACATGGATGCGGAGATCGGAGTGCGTAACCTGGCCGACACGTTCCGCTTCGACGCCCTGCCCGAGGTGGTCAAAGCCATTGGGTTTGACATCGACGCCTATCGTGCAAAGTCGGAGTACGCGGAAGTTCAAGAACTGGAGGATCTGCCGGACTATGAGCAGCTGCGGTGGCAGAGCCGCGCCCAGGCCGAGCTAAATTACGCCGTGCGTTGGTCCTTCCTGCAACAGGGTGTTACTTGTGTGGGAACGTTGGCTGCGTCCGCGGACTGGTGTCAGTTTGACGATGAACATGCCGCGAAGAAGGGCTACCGACTAAACTCGGATCCCTACTGGCTGTCACCGCCACAGGGATCGATTGTGCCTGTGTGGCATCGGGGTGGTGCCCCGAACTACCAGCCGAAGCCTATGATCTGTCGGAATCGCTATGATCCCGTTAACTCGTGGCAGCGTAGGAAGGGTTCCACGGATGCGGATCCAATCCTTCTGATAAGGAAAGGGAATGAATGGGTCACCAAACCTCTGACTGGTTTCCTCGCTGATATCCCAAGCCGAAAGAGGCGTAAGCTGACCGAGTCTCAAAGGAAAGAGAAGCCCTCCACGGTGCATATCTACTACTGCAGCCAGGGTACCACAGCACGGACTCTAGCTGAAAGAATACATCGGCGAGTGAAGCGCAGTGCCAGAGGACTTCAGGTGACATTTGGTTCTTTGAACGCCTTGGACTTGACTCAGATCGAAGCATCCGATATCATCCTTCTAGTTGCGTCTACCACTGGCAGTGGTGCATTTCCTGCCAATGGAGCTGACTTTGCGAAGGCGATGGGACATTTTTGCGAGTCCCTCAAGACCGACTTCTCGCGTGTCCGACTGTCTGTCTTTGGTGTTGGGGATAGCGCCTATCCCAACTTCAATGCTGCAGCAATCACCGCGTACAACCTTTTTCACCAGCTCAACGTCTTGCCCATAGCTGGTGGATTGATTAAGGCCGATGTGGCATCTGAGACGCTGCCGTTGCGCATGTTCAATTATTGGTCGGACGCGGTGGAGTCCGCGTTAGCCGGAGGGAAAGGCGAGTTGAGCAGCGATCCCGAAGAATCGTTTGTGTCACACGCTGAGATGCTGCGCAACTTCGGCCGGGCTACGATCATCTCTAAAACATGCAGCGACGCAGATGATTGCTTAATCACCCTGACACTTGACGGCATCGAGTGTGCCGACATGGCCCACCTGAGGCTGCTCCCCACGAATTCCGCATCTCATGTCGCTCGAGCCATCACTGCCCTGGGAATCTCAGATCCACAGCTTCTCATGCCGTTCTCTAGCGGGGCACTCCAGCAGTGCAGCTATGGCATCTTCTTCACCAGGTTCGTCGATCTGGAGGATAGAGGTAAACTACCCAGCTGGGCAATCGAGTCGAACAATAACAGTGGGCGCGAGAAAGAAAGTATCCTTGAAAGACTGGAGCAATTGTCAGTCAGTCTACAGCCATCACAGTTGTCTCTTGAGCTCCGTCATAAGATCTGCTTTGGTAGCCCACTCCTTCGCCCCCGAGCCTTTTCCGTGGCATCATCCGCGCGGTACATCGGCGAGAAGAAGGTGGAGCTCTTGATTAAGCCACACCGGCGAGGCCGATTCAGCGACATCTACCTCTCCACCCTTCAGCCTGGCGGATCAGTCGAATATGCCATCGTTCCTGCATCCCCTGCATCTTTTCTTCCCGCTGTCCAAAAGCCCCTCGTCGTCATCAGCACTGGCTCTGGATTTGCACCAGTCCGCAGTCTACTTCAGCAGCGCATTCAGATTGCACGAGAATGGAGAGAAGAGCGTAGCACGAAACATCCGTTTCATACTTCTCCCATCAGCCTTTTCGCAGGGTTTCGGCTAGTGGATGAGAGCATCATTCACGCAGCAGTCGACCTGGCGGAGAGGTATCGTCTGTTGGATCTGGCCTGTCTCGTTCCTAGTAACCCCGAAAAGAAACGAGTTCAAGGCTATCTGCTGGACAAACGTGACACAATCCGGGCGAAGTTGGTGGAACAGGAAGGATATGTCTATGTTTGTGGGAGTGCCGCTATGACTGAAGGGGTGCGAGCCAACCTCAGCGAGATTCTCGCGGGAGAGGTGAAGCAGATCATGGGAGAACGATACGTGGAGGAAGTGTTTTGAGGGGGCGAAACACTAACTTCCGCTGGAATAAACAGTGCTCACATCAAACAAACTCCTCCATCATAATGCTCCCCTTCATCCAGGCGCCAATGTCAAGGCGTAGAACCACCTGCACTCTCAGGATTGTCACCATCATTATATCCTCTCTTGGCTCTGCACAAAACTCCCGGTGCAAAGTCACAGTATATACCGTACGTGAAATGAGTCGAGACGTCATACCGTTTGCATGCGAGGTAATTTTGCCAAGTAACCGATATCCGCATAGGAGCAAACGCATACCGACCGACTGGAAACCAAATATCCCAGCAAAACATTGAAAAAAGTGACACCATGCTCCTCGCATGGGTTTTGTATTGTGCTATACTGATTGGTGTACGCCAACCGGGATGTGTACCGAAAAGGTCCGGAGATATACACATGGCTGCCAAAGGCTCTGGGAACTCATAAGTACTTATGCAATGCCCAGAAAGGCTAGACACGAACATTAAATGCTCCTCTGTGGAGATGGAGGGACTGAAGCCCTCGGTTCACATGTGTGCAGAACACACGGTGAGACCCGGCAGAGTTAAGACCTGAGAATAGAGAACTCTGGGAACGAGAAGCATAGAGAATGAGAATCGTTTTCTTCCAAGTCGTGGGATGCCTGCATACTTCAATGCGGGTTATGTCACTGCGTGACCGGGGACTGAAGGTAGCTCTCGGGAGAAATATATAATTACTACTAGTACTGTTACGACCTTCTGGTCATTTGGGTGACAGTTTCACTACTAGTAGAAATTTGACATCTCGTCCTGGCATGAGAGACAGTTGTCGAGCCAGAAAACGTTTGCCACTACTGATCGTTACATCTTTGAGGTCCAATACGAGGATATATGCTTATTCAATGATAGAAACCTAACCTGCACAAGCAACTTTTAGTTATGCTCCATGCCAGTGCTTACATAACGCCATGTCCCAGCTCCCAATCACGTGATGACCAAGGCCGCCAAGGCAGCATCTCACGTCAGCCAGCCTCCAGGGGTGATGAGTGAGTTATAACTCATCTTTCACTGATCGCGCCTAGAGGGACAGTCGCCTCTCTCTTTATCATCCGCTACCACCGATTCCTCTCTCAGTTTATATACTTCTTATACATACATCTACTAATGTGACGTAGACATCCATCTATTCAGCTGGGAAGATTCTGAACACTGGAGCCCCTGAAAGGGTCGTCGGGTGTGCCCTAGTGGCTTGGCTTGGCTTCATTTTCCCTCTTCGCACGGCCCCCAAAACCCACTGACCCCTCGGGTGTGGCAGAAGCAGCATCAGAGAGTGCAAGGGATTGGCCCATTTGGCAGACTGACATTCCTGGCCCCCCCGCCCACAGCCAACCGGCTGCCTCACCGATGTCACCCTCGTCCCTCCGGCCTCTTCAGATTGAACTCGCGAGGTTCTCCCTCATGCCTACCTGGGATGGCGTGCTCGCGCGTGTCCTTGATAGTCTGCCAATCGTCCGGGCTTGAAACTTCTCTGGCTCTTCAAAGGGATCTTGGCCCCCACCAGCCTCGGCACGGCCCCCGTTCAATCAGCTTTAGTGTGAGCCTGGCGCGCTGACCAGCGACGGTCATTTCCCCAGATGAAAAACTCCCGTCGTCTCGCCTATTCTCCTTTCACTCTGTTGTTGAAATGTGAGATGGCACAGCTATTGCTGCTGCTGCCGGCCTGAAACCAAATCCCACCTTGCTTTGAGAGAGAAAAGTTTCGGGGGTGTTCGTCAGCATGTGGCTCTACCATCTGCTGCTGATCGCCCTTCTGGAACGGCTGGTGGCCGGCACCACCTGCTACTTCCCTGAGGGCAACGTGGCCGAGGATTACACGCCTTGCTCGGACAATGGCGTCTCGTTCTGCTGCAACAAGGACTCAATTTGCCTCAGCAATGGCCTCTGCACCTCCATGCATCAACCGTATGTTCTCGGCCGCGGCGCCTGTACCTCCCAAAGTTGGAACGATACCTCGGTCTGCGACGATGTCTGTCACGGAAGTACGTGGGATCCCTCGCTCCTCTTATATTTGGCTTCAACTTCTTCTACTGTTCTTCTTCAATGCGACTGACCAAATGTCGCAAAATAACAGTCACCACCGCGTGGAGCAGCGCCTGCTCCCTAATCCTCTACGGCACCGTGAACGGAGTCAAGTTGTACTGCCCCAACTCAATTATTTCCAACGGAACCGACTCCCTCGGATGCGCCAATGGTGTCTCACCCATTTCAGTGGGCACTGGCAAGCCCATTGCCGGCAAAGCCTATCTGGCCAGCTACTCCCTCCTCCCTACTGCTAGCACCGCCACCAGCACGGCGACCGCCACTTCCACCACCGAACCCGATACTTCCTCCCCCTCCACCTCCACCACAGCCGATGAAAGCTGCAGCAGCTCGACCGCGGCTAATAGCAACCAAGTCAGCCGGGCGACCGTGACTGCCGTTGGGGCCGGGGTCGGCGTCCCGCTTGGGCTGCTGGCGTTGGCATCGCTGGGCTATGGCTTCAATGAGAGAAGAAAGCGACTGCAACTCCAGAATGCTTCACCAAACATGTACCAGATGCCGGCGGCCTCATCAACCTCCTACCGATCGAGAAATGTGGGCGCGAAGGAGCTGTCGGGTCATATACCGCTCCATGAGCTGGACACGTGATTGCGCATGAGCCCGTGCATATAATTGTTCGACAAGCGTTTGGTGAAAAGGGATGACAGAAAGGGAGAGTGGCATACACAATCTTGGTGACGTTTTGAGGTCACAGCAACTATATGGATGATGTTGCATGTATCTCCGTTACCCCAACAATTGATGTCGGACCGCTGGCTTAGACCTGCTGAACCTGTACTTGCTGAACCTGTACTTTTGGGGACTCAGCAAGAACGAACCGTAAAGATAATAATACTAATACACTTCCTCCAAGCAGTTCATGTACAGGACTAAAACCCTAATAGCCTTGAATGGATCCGCTAAAACTCCATACCGTAAGAAGGCTGCGACCCGGAGTGAACGGGGTCGAGATAATGAGACACTTTTACAGCCGATGTGCACCGCTTATCCTCCCTCAAAGGCGTCTCTGACCGTAAACAGAACCCATTTAGCAGTCGAGTAGATTATGCCGCCAGAACAACTCTGACACAAGGAGAGAAACCCGCGATAAGTAGTGCCAACAGAACTAGCATATGACTCCTAATGTAGGGTGAATCGGAGAAGCCCTGATGGAACCAAACAGGAATCATCTGGTCATGCTGACTGGGAAAAGACGTACCCGCGACCAAGGAAGTATATTAATTTCCCTTCAGCGGCTGGAGGTCTACGGTTCCAGGATGTTAAACCATTGATTCCTGAGTTCCTGAAGATCCTACCGCAGGTCCACCGAAAATGGTCGACGAAGTCCCAGCCATACCCATGACGCATAACCTTATCCGACATCGAAATATGTGACTCAACCTTGCTTGAGCATGACACGCAAATGTCTACAGCAGCCATGCCCTCCACCCCATGCGCAATTTTTAGGTTTGATGATTCGGCATACTCAGCGCCAAGTACATGATACTTCGAAACAAGAACACTCAAATGCATCTGTCGGAGCCGAATAAGCTATGTGCGTGACCCGACCCAGAGATCAGGTTTATGATGCCGCCCCAAATCCGTGGCAGACACATTTATGGGGATAAACTAGGTATGGATCCACAGTGAGAAAAGGAAACCTTTCGAACGAAACATGCTGTTCACGCAGGAAGGCATTATCATTTGGCCGGCTTGCAGTATCCGCATATATTGTGGTTACAGATGGCACACCTTGGCTGGTTAACCCAGAACTTCGGACCGTCACCACACTGGCACTGTGAAATCGGTGAGCATTCGTCAAATCATCAGAACGATATGCATCGAAGTTAACCTACACAGAAATATAAAGTGGGGAATGCATGGTACGGTGCGAGATTGTCATGAACGCCCACAACCTGCTCAATCGACCTTAGAGCCGAGCTGGCTAAGGGGAGGTGTCGTATGGATGGCCGTTTACAGAGCTTAAACAGATTCATATTACCTCCCGATCTCGAAATCAAAATCCAGGGCGTTGCATCGGACTCGTGCTGCTCTGGTGAATGTCGATGATCTATCACCCCCTCGTTGTCTGGGAGAAGATCGAGGGAGATATCATGAAGTATGGGAGTCATGTTATAGAATTATGAAACGGCAAGATCGCCTAGAACTAGCGACAGACAGACGCCTTGATTCCTCGCATGTAGGAGGTCATAGACTAGCTGGCGGGGCAAGGATGCTGCTCGTACCTCTATTTAATCAGCGGTTCTTGTGGCTATGTCCCCCGCCACAGCTACGATTGGGTAGCAGTCAGGCAGGAAGATCGGCCGACGCTCCAGCTGCGACGCGCATCGTCTAAGCAACACGACGTATGATTCTCCTCGATGAGAAGACACGCTTAGCATCACATCCCCGGAGCTTCATAATGACATCCGGGCCGAAAGCTTCTCACCATGATTATACCGTGGCGTGGATATGCGCACTACCGGTGGAGCTGGCAGCTGCCCAAGCTCTTCTGGATGAGATTCACGATCAGCTACCGGCCGGACCAGCTGACACGAATGTCTACACCCTAGGATGCATATATGGCCACAGGATTGTCCTCACCTGCTTACCGAGCGGTGTATGCGGGACGATCTCTGCGGCCATTGTCGCGACGCAGCTTTTGTCGACTTTCCATTCCATCCAATTTGCCCTCCTGGTCGGTATTGGCGGAGGCATACCGACTGGGAGCGCAGATATTCGCCTCGGCGATGTTGTCGTTGCAAGGCCTACTGACAAGCACGGCGGAGTTGTACAATATGACTTTGGCAAAGCAACACCCACTGGCTTTCAGCGTACGGGCATCCTAAATAGCCCGCCTAGATCTCTGTTACAAGCGCTCTCTAAATTAGAAGCAAATCATTTATCACATGTTGGTCAATTCAAGTCTATCCTGTCTGAGTTGGAAAGGAGACTGCCAGGTCAGGGAGCATTGGTATTCGCTCGGCCGGTGATGGATGACCATTTGTATCTTGCAGATTACCATCATGTTGGTACTCAGTCCGATGGATGTGAAAATTGTGACAAGTCAAGGACGGCTGCACGGCCTGTCCGATGCGATGACTTACCAGTAGTTCATTACGGGTTGATTGCGTCGGGAAACCAGGTGGTCAAAGACAGCCACTTGCGTAACAAGTTAGGGCAGGAACTAGGGGCGTACTGTGTCGAGATGGAAGCAGCCGGCTTGACTAACCATTTGCCTTGTCTGGTGGTCCGCGGCATATGTGACTATGCTGATTCACACAAGAATGACGCCTGGCACGGGTATGCTGCCGCCACAGCTGGAGCGTATGCTAAGGAACTACTTTCCGTGATACCAGTTACGCAACACCATATGGCTTATTCGACAGGCAATACGTCGGGTAAGCAACTTGAAGGTCTCTTGACAGAGCATCTCACCGCTAACAGCTAGAGGCCAGACAACTACCACATCCCATTTCAGCTGACTGACGTACCCACAATTAGCAATTTTGTCGGTCGTGGAGCAAATCTCCACGAGCTCTGGGAGATCTTGCGCCCAAACACAGCGATGGCGCGCAAAGCCGTAGTAATATATGGCATGGGTGGGCTAGGCAAAACACAGCTTGCGGCCCACTTTGCTCGCATACACAAAGAGGACTTCACATCAATCTTTTGGCTGCATGGCAAGGACGAGACTACCTTGAATGCGTCCTTTGCAGACCTTGTTGCTCGTGTCGTAGAATTGGCTGCAATCAATAGTACAAATCATCATGCAATGCGCGAAGGGCCAGGATTGTGTGCAAAAACAGCTTTAGAGTGGCTCTCGAAGAAGAACAATGCTGAGTGGCTTCTAATCTACGACGATGTAGAAGCCCGTGACATTGAAAAGTGGCTGCCGACCGCAGATCATGGTTCAATTATCGTCACAACTCGATCACAGCAATTCGCTGACAGCGGCATGATAGCCCACCCACTCAAACCGCTTTCCTTTGAGGAAGCATTGCAACTACTCACTGGTGAACCAGGCCCTGGGGACAGCACATACAGCCGATGCCAAAATGACCCAAGCTGTGAAGCTTTAGCTAGGCGTTTGCACGGACTACCTTTAGCGCTGGCACTTGCAGGCTCTTATATCCACCGGACAGGTATGAGCTGCTCCAAATACTTGGAATACTACCAACGGGAATGGTGCAGCCTTCAGGCAGCGGCAGAACCGCTTCGAGAGTACCGAAACGGGAATTTGCAGACGGCGTGGAGAGTTTCTTACGAGGCAGTTAAGCAAACCTCTCCACTGGCGGCCCAGTCCTTCTTTATTCTTTCATTTTTTCACCATGAGGATATATGGTATGAGCTACTCAACAGCGCCATGCAATCCCACGCCTTACCCCCATGGCTCTCTGAAGTCATGTCGAACGAGATTCAGTTCTCAAAGTTGATGCAGATATTGCTGGAATTCTCGCTGGTACAACAGTCGTCGCGCAATGGAAGTTATTGCATACACCCCGTCATACAGGATTGGTGTAAGAATGAGCTTCCAACAATCGATCCAGACCTCTTTGAGCTTGGCACGAAAACTTTCACCATTGTCGCAGTCGCAGTGGGGTCGAACGCCCGAACTGCGCTAGACACGAACGACTGGTCGCTGCAACACCGCCTGCTGTATCACGCAAACAGACTCACGCCACTATTACGAGCCAAACCAGGAGAAAGTCGAGATGCCGAGGTCCTTTCGGCAGTTCATACAATTGGACGCCTGTATTGGACACATGGAAGGTATGAACGTGCTGAGGAGATGTACCAAGAGGCACTCGCTGGGAGAGAGATGGTCTTCGGCCTAGATCACAATGTCACTCTCCAGACTGTCCACAACATGGGCTTGCTTTACCACGACCGGGGCGACTTGAGATCTGCCGAGCTGATGTATCAACGGGCGCTTTCCGGATATAACTGCACCGAGAATGATAATGCCCACCTGGAGGCTCTGGATACTCTTCAAAGCCTTGCGAATCTCTACCATGCTCAAGGGAGACTAGACGAGGCTGAAAGGCTGTGCTACAACGCACTGAAAGGATACCAAAGTTTATTGACAGCAAATAGTCCCTTGGTCATGGATGCAATGCACAACCTCGCGAACATCTACTTCTCCCAACACCAGTTACCCGCAGCAGAAGAGCTGTACGACCAAGCCTTAAAGGGCAAACAGAGACTGCTTGGTGAATATCACACATCGACGCTTGACACAATTCATAATTTAGGGGTTGTTTATTTCGAACAAGGTCGACTGCAGGAAGCCGAAGAAATGTGCGATCGTGCACTTTCTGGGAAGGTAAGAGTAATGGGGGAAGACCACGCGTCCGTGTTCGACACGCTATTTCAATTAGGAACCCTGTATCGCTCCCAGGGTAGATCGAAAGCTGCCGAGGAAATGTACCAACGAGCTCTGTTGGGACGAGAGAAAGTCGTGGGTGTCTGTCACCCCTCGACTCTTCATACTGTCCACCATATTGGAAACCTTTATTTGGGGCAAGGCAGATTGCAAGAGGCGGAGCAGATGCAAGAACGAGCACTCCACGGCTATGACAGTACCTTTGGTCATAACCACACCTATACGCTTGAACTAGCCCATACCCTGGCTATTGTCTGTTGCCAGCGAGGGAAGCTTGCTAAAGCAGAATCCCTGTTCCAACGCGTCCTGGCCGCTAAGGAGCAGACCGATGGGAAGCGTAGTGCACCAGTGCTTGCTATTCTGAACAACCTAGCAAACGTATACAGAGAGCAAGGCAGACTCGCGGAAGCCGAAGAGACATATAAATTGGTCTTGAGCGAATGGCAGAAACGCAGGCGAACCCATCCTGCGGCACTCGGGGCTCTGAGTAATCTCGGTATCATCTGTCAAGACCGGAACCAGCTGAAAGAGGCGGAAAGATTGTTCAAAGAATCTCTCAACGGATACAATAGCGAGCTCGGTCCTGATCATATCCTCACACTGGACACGGTATGTAACCTAGGGGATTTGTATCGGGACCAGCACAAGGCCCACAGGGCAAAGGAACTCTACCAGCGCGCTCTTACCGGCTATGAGAATATTCTGGGTCCAGATCACCCGAGAACGCAAGAAACCGCAAACAAGGTACGCTTGATATGCAATTGTTCAAAACCGACCAAGCGACACCTCATTGCCCGACTTTGGAAAGGTGGTCGGTAAAACATACTTTGCCGTGAACTTCAATTATCCATCAGGTTTAGCCAAACCTCATCTGATAAAAGGTACTGATGAACTATATTTTGCTACGAAGCCATATTTGGTTCTGGTCACAATCCTTCTGTACCTAGTCACGTCGTCCTTTGTATACGTATGTCCGACAACTATATCATTACCAGATTACTCTCTATTGCCCGTTAATCGGGATCAGGTATGCTATACACGGCTGATATGCTTAGGACAAGCGTAGACAAGAGCATTGCAGAATCGATTGTAATGCCCTGAAAAGGCAACGAAGAAGATATCCAAGACAATATCACACGGCTTCCCCCAGAATGCTCAACAAATCCTGTGTGAATGCCTCGGGATGAGTAGCGGATGGCAGATGCCCACCGGCCACCATCTTCACTGGTAAGCCTAACTCGCCACCTAAGGTGGTAATCGGTTCGGTCGTCAACGGAGTAGTGGACAATTCACCCCTGATGAGAGTGATTTTGTCACGATAGGCCTTCAACGCAGGGTAGGAGATTCGGTATTCCAGCAGTATAGGTAATTCATGTTCGAAGAGGAAATTGAAACAGAGAATCGACAACGCAAGGAGCTTCTTATGAGCGGGCGAAAACCGGAGCAGCGCACGGTCTTCATCGCTCGTTACGACCGGGACAAATGCTTCCGAGGCGGCAGCTGGACCCTGGGATTTGTATAATGAAACGGTCGACTGAAATGCTGCCGAAACCTGCTCAAAACTCGGCTTCGGTAAGAGGCATGGTATGCACGGATCATGGACAATTATCTGTCGGACCAAGTCGGGATAACTGGTGAGGAGCTCAAGAGCATGCATGCAACCGAGTGAAATGCTGTAGATGAGGACTGGCTGGTCAGGTGAGAGGTGTTGTATGAGAGCGACTATGTCGTCCACCGTGTCCTTTAGCAGGTTCCTTTGCTGTTGTTCGGTTGGCGGAGAGAGGAAGCGACTGCGAAGGGAGCCTCGTCGGTCGAAGCCGATAACAGTGTATTGGGATGATAGCCGCAACGCGAGGTCTTCATGGGTTAGGTGCGTTCCGTGGGCCGCTGGGATGATGAGAAGCGGTGGACCAGAACCGCGGATTTCGTAGTAGATAGCTACGCCGGGTCGGCACAGAACTCCGCTGGACATCGTTGTTGACTTGTTTCGATCCCCTTCCTTCGGTTGCGCTGGCTGTTTGTTTGTTCCAACTTGAAAGTAGGGGTGCGTCGGGTGTTGAAATATGTAGTGTTGGTACCGTCCCGGATCCTTTCAGTTCGACTCGGACTCGGACTATTGATTCAGCATCGGCCCCGGACGAACTATTTGGGACAGCAAAACAACCAAGACACCCGAAATCAGCCTCCCGGTATCAATTTATGGTATGATGGTAGTGCCCTTGCAAATTTATGTCTCGGCAAAGATGCCCCAAAGTTTGGTCCTTTGATCGAGTGCATACTACCCCGCTGCCTACAGTCATATAATGCGAGACAATTGAGGGATTTGACGGCGTTCGGGGCCATACTCTTTGCTTCAAACGGAGAAGCACCTGCATAGCTAGCATCCTACTTAACCGGCTCGTTAAGGCATAAGGATATGAGTTTGAACCAATTGAATAGTGCGCGAGAAAAGCATATACATGGCTTTTATGGATAAAGATCGTAACATCTACCTCTGCCCACCACCCCCCCTTTGCCCCGACTGGGTCTTCATGGAGTGCCATGAATCCGCGCGAAGTCGATAAAAGTGTCCGGTGGGCCAGGTATGTAGACACATACAGAAGCGATTTTCAATAGTAGCCCCTCTGCTGCAGGTCCATCCAAGATCGACCCTTTCTGACGAAATTAAAACCACAATGAATATAATTCTTTGACTACAATCCACCACGACGATTTTATTGGCGCATTTATATCCTTTTGGGTATGAACTTAAATTGCCGGAGGGGAAGGTTATCAACTTTTACATCTTAACGAATAGTAAGGCTCTGCGATACCTAAGGCCCATTTACGCAAGCGCCTCTCACGGGACACTACTTGCGCGTGTCGTGGCGGTGTCATAGATAGAACGGCTAGCTGCTAGACTAGGAGACATCCCGTATTCCACAAGCAGTGGCAGATATGGGTTCACTAAAATAGTCCCGGCTGACCGATGCCGAAGAAGGGCGGATTGAACTCTTAATCTTTATATCTCCTTAGTGGTGCAAATCCCCTTTTTTAGTCTCAATTGTAGGGAGGAGGCAATTTCGCCCCGAACCTGAAACAACAAGATGTCAGGAGTTGCGACTTTACCATTGAATAACTCCCCATCACACAGATGGCCATACTTTATCAGCGTAAGACTGGCTCCGCATGCTTTGAAGGACAGATGAAGACTCCAAGGAAGTGCTTGGCGGTACTAATATGTACCCAAAGTACTATGCGGGAGAAACCGTGAAACCGTTGTTAACAATTTCTGTCTGGATAACACTAAAGACCCATACAAAGTGTTCTATAATCAGAGAACAGACTGAACCGGCAACTTGCAAAACTCCAACTGCTGGTCGACAGTGTCTCTCACTTGATCCTCCATTGACTTGAACTTTAGACCGAGCTCTTTCTCCGCCTTACTCGAGTCCACCGCGTAATTCATCCAGTCCTCCGGAATTAATCTCCAAGCCACGGAGGGGTATTCGTGTCGGACGAATGCGTTCACCTCCTCCCATGACCGGCGTGGAGCAGAGAGTAAGAAGGACTGGAAGCCTCGTGTGGATTCTCCTAGTGCCTTGACATGTGCCGCAGCGACGTCATCAACATGAACCCCCAGAAACTGACCATTGATGGGCCTTTCTGGCGACAAAAGAGTGAGTACCAGTGCGCCACAGCTTCCACTCAGGTTATCATGTGGTTCTTGTACCGGGTTACGACCATAAACCCAAGATGGATGGAATGTGGTCACATCAAACGACGGCTTGTGCTCCTGTACAAAGTCGATTATTGCTTGATAGGAGGCTACCTTACTCGCGCGGTACTGTACCATCGGATCCAGTAAAGGCGATATACCCTGCTTCGCATCATAGGGAATTCCCGTATCCTCTATGGAAGGTCAGCAGATGTCCGGCATTTCGAGCCAAAGCGGGTCTTTCTCACCGGTAATCACTGTACCGTGCGGTTGGCCAGCCAGGGGAATGAACGATGATATTGACGATGTGACAACAACTTTCCTAATAGTCGAATATTTGGAAGCAGACTGTAAGATGGATGTTGTTCCCTGCATTGCAGGGATCAAAAGGTCGGTGTTTCGATCTGGAAGTGGTGACGCAACATGTATGACATATTGCACGTCCTGTAAAGCCTCATCAAAGCATCCGGTGACAGTGATGTCGCTCACGACGGTGAACTCGATCTTACTTAGATGGCTGCTGAATATGCGGCGCAACTTTTCAGCTTGTTCAGGGTGTCGGATAGATAGGCGTGCGCGGTATCCGGCCTGCAATACCTCAAGGGCAACGCGAGACCCAATAAACCTGTTACACCTGTGATCAAGGCGGTGGCAGCCATTATAGTGCTTTTCAACTTGTCAAAGACAAGCATACTCGCTTCGCTGTCATTGTTATGGCTTAAATAGAGCATCTGACTATTATAGCTTGGTAGCGATATGTGTGTCGGAGTTTCTATTAGCGGTGACCGAAGCTTTGACAAATCATTGAAGTTTTAAAAGCTATTAGTAGACTTGGGTAGCTCACTACGTATGATCGTAGAGATTCATGCAGTATGTACAAATAGTCTTACTAGCCCTCATGCAAAGGCAACTGGATTGAATCGCTGGAAATTCGAACAATATCATGTATATTATTGATAAGTCTATTAGAATTTATCGAAGACTGGTGAAAGATCATCAATATAATTGGGCCGCGGACTAGCTGTGGTAGGTATCTAATTAGTTACCAGCGTGGGCGCCCAGGAGTGCGTGAACAGGCGCACCTGCAACATCCAAAACCGGGCCTACATTTCTCCGTGGATGGACGCCGATAAATGCACTCCTCCACCGCTCGGTGAGTCTCATTCCGCTGGAAAGACTCACCGGCTAGGATGCTAGCGCCCGATGATCGATTTATACTGTGTACTGTATGGACTCTATATTATATAATTATACTGCTTTGACCTTCAATGTTAATCAATTCATTAATACTATATTGCCGTCTATGATACTCCGTGCAGATCATAGGATTTGCAGGGAGTGCACTCCCCTCGAGGACAAGGGAAACAAAAATTCGTATCAATAAATTCTAGAAAAAATAAACTAAAGAACAGAATACTCCCTACTTCCATTTTTAGTTTTTTGTTCTCCGTGTCTTTTACTCCTTTTCCTTTCCAGTTTGTGCACAAGATTTGGTAGTACGTTCACGAGACATACAAGGGATACAGCTCTGTACCTATCACTTGATATGGAAATTCCACATGATACACTTATGGACTGTCCGCCCTACCTCTTTATCAATGTCGATCCTATGGGACACCATCACAATGTCTATAGGACAGAGCATTTCTATATAACTCACATCGTCGAACACACCTAGGTGGACACCGCGCACTCCTATCTCAAAGCCTGCAAATCCATTCCTCTAAAATGTCATATACACCAGCCCAACTAGCCCAATACTTTGAACGCATCAAGCTTCCTGATGACATCCGCGCACGCTTGAGCGCTGGGAAGAAAGACCTAGAAGTTCTGACTAGCCTTGTGCGCCATCATGTTGCGGGGGTTCCCTTTGAAAATACAGTCCTACACTACACCCCCGAGCAGTATTTTGAGCTCAAACCACAAGGTCTACACGAAAAGATTGTGCGCCGTCGCCAAGGTGGCACCTGCTTTCAGGTAGTCAGACTCCTAAGTGAGGTCCTGCTTTCCATCGGATACACGCTCTACAACAGTGCAGCGCGCCTTAACGCGGCAGCTAGCATTTCTCTTGCAACCACCGCCGATTCGAACCGACCAGTGGGCCCACAGTTTGGTGACTGGCAACACATGATTCTCATTGTTCGCATTGACGGACAAGATTACCTTGTCGACGGGGGTTTCGGCCCGAACTGCCCTGTCCAGCCGATTGCACTGCGTGACGGGCATGAATTTGTCGATGGCCGCTTGGGTCGTCGGGGACGACTGATCTACGACAATATCAACAACGGCCGGGCGCATCATCTGAAATACTGGCGACTGCAGTATCAAAGTATGAAATTACCGGTGGCACCGTGGATGGACGTATATGCATTCAAGGAGTGCGAATGGTTAGACACAGATTACGAAGCCGGTGCCCGGGCAGTTGGTACAAACAAACGCGTATGGTTTCGGCTCCGTGTTACCGCTTTCCATTACGTGCTAGAGGAGGGGGTCCCCGTGGGCTGGATTATGCTATGGCATAACACGCTTATACGGTTCCACGGTGGAAAGGTGCTGGAGAAAAGCTTTTTGGAGTCCGAAGAGGATAGGATCGAGGTGTTGGCGGATGTGTTTGGAATCGTGTTGACCGAGGATCACAGGAACGAGATTGCCGGAATGTTCTCAGCTTTGCCTCCCAAGAGAGCTAGATCATCAAAGATGTAGATATACATCACTGGCGCTCAGACCAGCCTTCCGGACACTGCGACATATTGTACTTCCCTGCTATATGGCTTTATATTAGTTTCGATATATACTTTCTAATAATATTTGTTTTATCTTGGTGGTCTTGGTAGCTACCACTACTGCTACTTAGAGTGCTACCGGTGGCTCTGCAATGTTCCGGGATAATCGTAGGCCCCGAAAGACCTCAGCAGTGGGAGAGGGCACCCCAGTTCCACGCGTGAAAACGTCCTGTGTATAAACTTTTCGGTCCTGAACTGACCAGGTGTCTTGCTCATCGGCGGAGTAAGACAAAATATTCCTGCGAAAAATCATGCAATAACTATCACCGGTGCGCTACAATCTGGCTCTTCGCTGCTGCGAAAACAAAGATTCTGGCAGATCAGGTAGAGCAGTAGGATAGTACATCTCACTTCAAGGAACACCGCGGCCTCTAGCGGAGGTTTGCTCAAACTTATCACTATTTAGATGAGGTGATAAATTGGTCAGGATGGACTATGTTCGAGTTGATACCAGTACAACAATGCCTTTCCACTTTGATGGAGGATGCGTCAGTGAGGCATCGCCCGAGGTAGGCTCTCAGAAAAGATTGGCCAGGCTGGCGTCTCCTTCAAAACAGCGATAATTGTCACGGCAGAATCTAGTTATTGAGGCTTTCCAGAAGTAGCCACAACGGGGGCATACATGTTGTCAAGTGCCATGGAAGTTCTCTTTTGGTTTCTTGCATTACCGGGAGATTTATCGGATCGCTCACGCTCATCACACGAACCTAATGTTTCAACGAGAGTCGCAAATTCAAATGATCTGACATACTCGACTGTAACAGATGGCAAAGGGCTGACATCACGAGAAAGTGCAAGCCGGTGACGGAATCGTTGCTGACCAGGACCGCCTACGGGTAGTATATCCGTCTATATTGCTATCCTCATGCTTGAGAACCATCGCCTGGAGCGTAGAGGCTAATACTCTATCCGCACTGTACATATAATGGTCATAGAATATGTCTAAATATTGAAGGTCATGACACCTTCGTTGTACGCTAACGATACAGCCTCCGAGGATCGATCAGCTTAGCTATCTCTCCAAAAAAAACCCCAATAGGCTGCTCTGTCTCACTTGTCTCGTAGATGACGAATGCCTCCTCCAATTTCAAGTCTACCTCATGTGGTCACGACCGTCTAGTTCGTTACCAGATCTCCCATCTAACGAACGTCAACGGTGCCAACAATAGCATAGCATAGTTGAGGAAGAATATGGCTGTGTTCCAGCGACTGAAGCTCTTATATGTGAAGCAGAATACCATCACCACCATCCACGCTAGTGTAATATTACTGCAATATGGTTGGAACAATCCCTCAATAAAAGGCTGATGAACGTTCTAGGCCTTGAACGTGCAGTAGAAGCAGACATGTGACAATAATGACAATATACTTGATGAGAATTTTGCTGTCATTACACTGATCAGCCACTCCAGGACTTGCATCGAACTTCCTAGAAGCTGGAGTAATGAAAGGCATGCATAAGGCTGTGGCAGCCAGAAAACTATAGATGGGCACATCCATTCGGTCAGTCCTTGCCAACACTCGTAGAGCTCCGCCCCCAACGGCTGAGCCATGCAATGCGCGAGTCGGTGGTACATGCTTTCAAGGTTTTGCTCCCGGAGTGTCTTCATGGAGATTTTGTGATAAACCTAGAGACAGCACCATCTCTCTCGAACTCGTGGACACCTCGTGCTCATTATTCTGCTATTTAGTCAAGGACATTGTCACTTGTGACGTCGTCAACCAGAATGAGCAGTATGGTGGATGTGATCGGATACGAAAGGTCTATAAGATCAATACGAGTTGGAGACAACGCTTTAGTTCACATTATTATCGCTTACAAAAGATTCTCTCCATCATTCCAGCCAACTTCAGCGTACCGAGCCCCAAAAGACGGTGTGTCAATGCGCATTCGGCCCGGGAAAACGACTGCAGAAGAAGAGTCGAAAAAGGAACATTTGAATGTTTGGTACATATCACCTTTGCACAGAATGTCCACCTTGGACTCTAATTTAGTCTTCGGTGAATGGACAACCTTTGGCGCTACTATGTGACCGTGTTTTCTTCTCCACCACCTCAGCTGTTAACTTCATCAGCCTGTCAGCTAACTCCATGTCGTTGGCCTTATCACTGCCCTTCTCCACAATTCGTGGCGGATTGATGAACTGCCCGCCCTCGGTCGCCATGGTCGCCGCATACATGGTGGACACGGCGCCCTGGAACTGAGTCTTTCGAAACGGCTTCAGGCCGGCGGACAGGCCATAGCCGAGCAGGGGATGGGCCTCGTGTATGTGGACATTTGTCTGCGCCGTATCGACAACCCCCGGGTGAGTTGCGTTAACAATGATATTGGGATGTGTGGGTTGGAGATGGGCGTGGAGCCACTTGGCGTACAGGAGCACCGCCAGTTTAGACCGACCGTACAGCTCCGTCGGGCTATATTCGCGGTTCAGCTCCTCCACGGACGCGAATTCCGTGTCCTTGGGTGCGCTGCCTTCTACATTGGAGGAGAGGTTGACAATACGGACGGTGTTTCCAGCGTCAGCTGTTTTTTTCAGCGTTGGCAGCAGGTGCGAGGTCAGCACGACATGACCCATGTGGTTGGCTGCCATGTGCAGGTCAACCCCGTTGGTGGGAGCCAGCTGGCGTGTCATGACGCCCCGGCCGGCATTATTGATAAGTATGTCGATGCGGTCCGTCTGCGACGCAATCTCCGCTGCCACCTTGGCAGTCTGTTCCCAGTCCGACAGGTCACATTGGATCCAGATAAAGCGATGGCGTGTCTCGGGACCGAACTCTTCCTCAATGGCGGATATGGCATCATCGGCTACCTCCTTACGAAGCGAAGTCACAAAAAGCTTCGAAATACGCTTGGAAAGGAGGGTGTGGGTTACTCCAAACCCGATCCCTGTGATTCGTAAGGCGGTTAAAAACTTCCAATCGCAGGCCTGGGGTCTGGCGAGCTTATGGGAAACGATTAAGCAGGATACCTTCACTACCTCCAGTGACCACCGCTACCTTACCGCTCAGGTCGGGCACGTCATCCAGATCAAACTTCTCTTCTGCGAGATTGTGAGAAGGACCGCCGAAGTTCTCGGCAATGGTGTTCTTGACAGCTTGCATTCTGTTCTTCTGTAGTAGGTTTAGGCAACAGCTTCGTTACTAAGATGGAGACCAACGCATTTGTTGTATGTAGTAGGTCTTAAGAGGTTGTTGGAGCAGTTGGCTATTACATGATGAAGTCACCGATTGGCCATGTCGCCATGTGCGTCATCCTCTGTCCGCAGCGTCCCATCATTGGCTTGCAACTACGTCGAAAGCCTGATTTAGAGTCTCAGCTTAAGTTATTGAGAGCTGGTATGCACCTGTTGCTGAACACAATTACCAACATAAAGTAATCACTGCAGTACCAGAGGAGCCTGCCTTTCCAATCGATGGCTAGTGATCTGCCCACAAATCTTCATCTACTGTGCCAGGTGGAGCCGGAGGG